TAGAAAGTTTTTATTGTGGAAGCCATGTAGAGGTGTAATAATTAGGAGGATGCGTTATTTGGGGCAAGGAAGGTAATTAAAGTAACTAATATTGAAAAAGTTAAGACTTGTTGACTCATTAGCTGCACATGTGCCACACTGTTGTTGATGAGTGAAATTTCAGCTATTAGAAAGTCGTTAATTCTGCACTAAGTTATTAGGAATTATCAATATTGTCTGCATACTAATATGATTAATTTCAAGAATATACAGTACGTATTTAATAGCTTGTAATGATTAACTTTATTTTTAGATTCTTCAAAAAATAAAGTCAAGTAAAACAAAATCGTAAGCTAGTTTTTTTACTTTTAAAGATTTTACCTTATTATTTAGTGATTCCAAGGCCCCAAGACTTCAACTTAACTTTATAAAACATTAAATTGTGTCATAATAAATATAAAATGATTTGGAAATAGAAATTCCCTGATAACATTAGATATCTTTCATACTATGTGGTTTTCAAATTCTTGCATATGATAGTTTCGAACATTTTAAACAAATTTTTAATGTGATTTTATTTGCCAACTTCAGTGCTTATTTGGAGGATCATTTGCTGCAATTAACTGGTCACATAGATATAGGAAATAAGAATATAATACAGACTCGGAACCTGTAGCATTCATTTAAGACACACCAACAATTAATTTTTTCAGTAGTAAACCTGGATGACTGGTCTATTGAAAAAAATTAAGTATTGGTTTAATTGTCTATTTATACGACAGATTCAAGAAGAAGCAGTTTGTTATATCTCTTTAAGAACAAACCAAAAGAATATGAAAGAATGAGAGAAAAGAACAGAATATAACAGAACGTGTGTGTGTTACAAAAACAATCTTAAATAATGTACCACCTACACATAATATTAATAACCATAATAATCATAAATAATAATGAGAATACATGTAGCTAAACAATAATGTAATAATACATAAATACAGCCCAAACGCAACATTCAATAACCGTCGTGGGCGGGCCCTAAAAGTAAAACTCCCCTTTCTAAAAGGAATTTTTGACGGTTGCATCTTGGCTGAATAATAGGTAGTGTATGCATGTATATGTGTATGGATACAAAAGTTTGTCCATATGAAGATACCATACAGTTCATGTTGTCCTCACATTGTAAAATCATTAATAATTATTATGTGGGTTGTGTATTACATTTTGATTGCTTTAATATCAATTCTGCATTGGACTGCATGCATTTAGCTAACAGATATCCCACAACTTTTATTGTTTTTAGCAGTTTTCCCCATAATAACTCTGTTTTCTTCATAGACAGGGCAGCAGCAACCTGAGACGAGGGTCCTCTCCCTACTATTCCATCCTTTCGATCAGCCCCGGACATCCCGGCTGTAAAAGCATCCACACTAAAAAGGAACTGCCTGTATTCAGAACCAGAGGACGGTAAAAATGGCCTCCCACAACTCCCAAACACTAGCAGCGTGCATAAAGTCTACGGTGCGGGTTAAGGTAACATTCACTTTAGAGAAAATGTATACTATCATAGTTGTTGCTAGTTCTTTACACTGACTGCTGTGAGGACAGTTAAAAGAGAAATGGAAAGGGACTGACAGGAGGCGGTTCTTCGACCAGATTGCATCTTTTCCTGCGGGAGAGAAGTACTCTGAACCCCCGCCCCTCGAGAATCAATCCTTTCGCACCGGGCAGCCTGCATTGAGGTGATGTGTATCGAGTACCGACCCCTCACCCGAGAGTTTCTTGGGTATTTGCGGGGAGAGTCGGTGGCCATAGTCTGCCCTAGCCACCCGCTCCCTGCCTGGCGACGCGAGGCACCCTTCCAGTTCCTCCGCTGCCTAGGCCAGGCCTCTGGTTGGCACCTAAAGAGCTGCTGGCTACGGGGAGACTAGGGTGGCGGGAGCTATCATCCTCCTCCCTTATTCTATGAGGAATCAAGTGGCTGATAAACCTGTCGGTTCTCCTTAGCACCCGTTAGCCTCCAAAAATGATACCTGTGTTGGAGACTTCCTCGGTCAACCTGGCATTCAAGCGGGCCTTGCCAGGGGAAACCGTCCCTACAAAATGTTCCGTCACAAGGAAAGCTAGTACTGTTCGATCACCGTGGATGCAGTTAGGCTGACCATTGAGCTGGTACTAACCTTCCGGCAAAGTCCACCGAAGGGCTCGACTTCCAGTTACCTTACACAAACTATCAGTGGATCCTCCTCGTAGGCGATCGTCAGTCCCAACCCAAAGAACCATGATACAAGCCTTGGAGCCTCATACCAACCATATTATAGACTACGTAGCCGACCCACACTGCATGTGGAAGAAAGTCTATAAGCCTAAAGTAACCAGAAGCCGAAAAGCAAAAAAAAAACATTTTAGAGCACTCTTGACCCTTGAGTCTCTTGTCACACTACATAAGGCATGTGTATTTGTTCTCAGTGAGGTGTCGCCTCCCCACGTTCTTTGGGATAACCTCGAGGAGTCGATGGCTCAAGCCATTGCCTCGACATGTGGAATAAAATCGAGGGAGTGGGAGCCCCGAGAGGGACCGGGGAACGGACGGGGAGCAGAGAATTGATTCGGGTCTCCGAGGAGGCGAGGGCTTTGGCCGCCTAGTCCAAATCTATTCGGATAAAAGCTAGTGGAGGTACGCCGGCCTCCTTTCGAGGCCTCCCCGGCAGACTGACAAGCTCGGGGACCCTCCTCCTCGGGCTACCTGCCCGGGAGCTTTGTATACCTGTATGGTGTACCACTTGCTCTCCTGAGCGATCATCGGAAGGTTCACTAAACTTTACACTATCATTGATATACAAGCAATGAAGCAATGCAGGAAGTGACATAGTAAGATTTATTAAAAGGAAAATTGTAGGGCAAGTAAAGCTATCTAATATTTCCATTTGATCAAGCCCACCAATCCAATTTTATCCAATCATCCTAGTTGTAATAGGTAAGACTAACATTTTACATCATATAAGTTAATAATTATTTATTTCCAATATCATTATAGAGCCTTTTACAGATACAACTACTTCAGCAATCAGTAGTACACAAATTAATACAGTCATTACTGGGATTTTATCAAGCGTATACTTCACAGTAACAATAAAATCAACAAAATATACTGAGACTAACTTAATATCAGCATCAAGTAACAGTTTATCAGTAACAATAGGTACTGCATCAGTGATGAGTACACCAGTGAGTACATTACAAAGTACAGACAGTAATACACTATTAATAGCAGAAAGTTTTATTACAGCAGTATTTATATTACTGGTAATTACTATACTAGTAATATTAATGGTAAGTGTATTAGTGTGTAGGAAAATATGGGATAAAACATCAAATGGAGATGGTACTTCCAGTTCTGATAAAATAAAAGCTGATATAAATCAACAACCAGATGGTAGTGTTTATTGGATTCACCTTTTTTGCATAGGCGAGTACTACTTAAGTATGTATTTTTAAAAATAATAAAAATTAATTCAATTTATAGTACCAAGTATCAATAACAGACAGAATACACCAACAGCATGAGCTTATCCTGCTTATGGAGTAATTGGGGAACAAGAAAGTAAGATTATCTTAATAATATTAACATCATGACACAGACTGTAATACTGATATATCTGCTAATCCTGCATACGGTGTTATTTAAAGCATGAACTTTAAATTATTATTATCAATCAATACAACTATTAGTATAGGATCTGGTACCTCTACTAATTATTAACACTGGAGGAATGGAAAGTATGTGATGATGTGCATGGATATTAGTTGGGAAATAATTGTGAGACTATAATATCTTTAATTGAGCAAATTATTACTTCTGTTTTATGTGAACAAAGCAATGGCTATATATAAAATTATGTCATTATTTCTGAAATTAGATTTGCATGTAGATGAATGTTAAAAAATCCTGTATTGAACTATAGGTATCAATGAAGAATTATTAGTGTATGATGAACCAAGAACAATGTATGAACAAGAGGTATAAGTATATCTATATCAAGAGTAACATACTGTCAACTGCCAATTACCAAGTGAATACATTATGTATTGAACATAGCTCTACTAGTACAATTTAATTGCATTAATTTGTGCTTGTGTATTCTATTAATCTTTAATACTTAATACCAATAACAATTTAATTGGCATACTCATAGTAAATCAAATGCTGTTGTACTTTATGATCAATGGAATATTACTGGAAGTTAGAGAATTTTGTACTGCAGGATTTATGGATTATAATCTTCAGAGTACATCAATAAACCCAGATAGACTAGCTTGTTTCCATAATAACATATTAGCTTGAATTCTGCAAAGGAACAAGATGGATTAAAAATGAACACAACATCAAATTCACTTGTAAGATGTGATACATTTGTATTCAATGCTGGTGTTGATAGATCTATATAGATATTAAATGATAGTGTTGTAGAAATTTACTTTAAATATGGCTAGTGCACTCATCTCAGCACTGAAAAATGTTGAAAGGGTTGACATTGCAACTAAAGTAGAAAGTTTACCAACTGTTTGACTATGGAATCTATTTTTTATTTAATTTGCTATTGATGTCGTTATTTTTAGCACAGCATTGGATGAAGAAGCGATAAGCATAATGTACTCTATGCAGTAATGCCTGCCACACAAAGTATAGTTTACCCATAACAAAGCTTTGTTTGCTATGTTTTTAAACTTGATTATGAAGTAAAATTCTCTGTGTCACCAGTTTAGGTTGCTGCTTTAAATCTTAAAAAGCTAAATGTATATGTGACTTTATTTATTTGACCATATTTTAGGCATGCATTGCTAAGTCACATGTCTACAATAATGTTTGAGCAAATTCTGTCTAAAAGCATGCAAACTTTTAATGGTGACATCAGAATTAACTTAAAACTTTCAGAGCAAACAATGATTAAAATATAAAACTATAGGGGAGGGGGAACCAAAAAGTTATTGACAGTAGAAAACTAACAAAACTACTCTAATGAACACACACCACAGCTAGTTCTAATAGTTAATGATCAAAGAAGCAAATATGACTACAAAAAGGAGCTCCACCATTGGCAAAAAATTTCCAGCACTATCTGTTGAAGGAGTGGGACTTCCAACACTAACAGTAGAAGAAGTGGGACTTCTGACACTAGTAGTAGAAGAAGTAGGACTTCCGATAGTAATAGAAGAAGTAGGGTTTCCAACACTAGCTGTAGCAGTAGAAGAAGTAGAACTTCCAATACTTCTAGTATAAGTTGGACTTGCTAAATCTTCATATAGTTCAGCTTGATAATAAAAAATTTATAACATTGTGTACATATAATCACTCTTGCTACCTGCTTCAGGGCAATTTTCAAAATCATCCTGTAAAGAATATTTAAATTAAAGATAAATAAAATAATAAATGTAGTTATGCACTTACATAGCATATTTCAACACAAGATGGGCACACAATTCCTCCACGATACCTCACACCATTTGTAGTCTGATCAACTTGTATCTTTAAAACACTCAATATGTACTTAAGATAATAATAAAGAGTAGCATACCGTTTGACCAGCTCTACTACAGGTATATGATTGTCCAAGGATCATTATAGTAACAGCACTATTGGAGCATTTGTACTACAAAATGTAGATTAGTGATCATAAATCAAGTACACCTCTTGTTACACCTTGAGGTGTTAACAAGATATAAACAAAAATTTATTAAAAGTTGCAAGCATATTTTAAGCCTACCTCATAGCATCCGGCACTGTATTGGGCAGTGTATGTGTTTGAGCCATTAGTGATCTGCCACTTTTCAGAGTGATCCACACAACGTGACCTAGGTCCATATGTCTCTGCTGCTTCATTATTAGCAGCTATTAAATAATTTAATAAATATGATTTATACTATTTATGTTACTTAGGGGGATTCCTTTCCTGCATATACCCCGAGGTGCTCGCCTAAACTATTTTTAATAATGAAAAATAGATAAAAATTGTTATCAATTACTATACTCACAAGGTCAAGATAATATGGGCAGAAATCTGCTGCTTGAACACGTCCCCCATAAAATGGGAGTCTAGTTGGTGAACTGTCAAAATTTGCCCCCGAATTAAAATACTAAGATCATAAGAATGATTTTTGTACAATTAAAATGTATCCTTTCCACCTGATATTCTTGAGGTATAGATACAAAAGATGTTACATATAAGTAATTATCCACAAGGCTACAAAAAGCAACGGCTGTCCTGTCTATATTGCAAGACAGGTTCTGAGGATTAAACTCATTATCAGTAAAGAAATCACAAAATGGAGCTATTGGTTGATTCCTATACATTTAAACAAGAGTACATAAAATGATACTCATCTCAATAAGAGCTTTGGAAATACATACTGTCTTTTTTTGGAGTCAATATAACCTCCACAAGAACCAGCAACATATCCACATCCATCACCACGACCCCAAACAAGTCTACTTGCATTGCTATAATTAACTTTATACCAACTATATAATTATAAATAAAATTATAATTACAATACATTATGGTTTTAATGTTTAATTAACATACCCACTGTCTTCTAACAGTGCATAACTAAAGTTAGAGAATGCAAGGTTTTGTGATATGACACCAGTCATAGCTTCATACTGAACAAAATAAAAATTCATTGCATAATGGTTCATACTGAACAAAATAAAAATTCATGGCATAATGGGCAAGGTTATCAGCATGTTCTTACATTTAGTAATCTTTTCTCCCAGTGTGATCCAGCAGTGCCACTACTACCTTGATCCTCTAACTGAACACCTTCCAAAGTATTACAATTAAAATGACGCCTTGCAATCTCCTATGAATATAAACATAGATCTAGATCTACTATGCTGCTTTCATAACTATTACATACCACAACTTTTGGAGTCACCAACTGAATAATAGTTTTGTTCACTGGCCCAAATCTTGTCTGCCAATCAGTTAAATTCACCACTTTTACTGTAGTTTCTGCTGCTACATAACGACTATTGTATTGTAAATATAAGTACATATCTACATTATTATAGATTATTTTAACTAACCCATTAGCATCAGTGGGTGGGTTACCATTGGCATCCCTGCTTGTTCTTGGGTTTCCATTTTCATCTCTGTACCAAGGATATAAGTTATTTGAAAATCCCTGTATGATGTGATAAGTTCAAATCATAGTAAAAAGTTGTTCAGCAAAATTAACTTACTAGCACATGGAAAACTTCGTGTTTGGCAACCTGAAAAACCTGTTCATCATCATTGATGTTACTTGGACAAAAATTAATGATCCCTGATATTGGCCTGTAAAGATGTAGCCACAAAAAGTTTAAGCACAGTCTACCTGTCATATTGATCCTCCAATTGGCAGGCAGCAGCAAAAGCAATAGTGCTCCTACCACAGTTGACATTAATACCATATACATATAGAGCAAGGTCAGCTTCAATACCAGGTCCATCACTGTAAGCCTCAACACAATTACTACTGTCTCCATTGCACTCCACACAACGCTATATGTACATATGAAGTTAATGTTACACAATAACATGGATATGCATGTGTATCATAAACTATAACAAACACATATTATACTTAGTGAGCATACATAAACCATTCTATGTTAAACTAATAGCAGTGTATTTTATAATGTGTATCACGAATAGAAACATACTCACTTGTAGATGCTCTGATGGCACTGGAAAAACAGTACAAATAACTGATTCATTTGAACATCGATTAGGGCATGGCTCAGTAGGACCAGTTAGTGTAAAATTTCTTTCATTATTTACACAATACCTATAAGTGTAATGATGTAATAATAAGAATCTCTATAATGATTATTCATACCTTCGTAATCGGAGAGGGCCTGGAGTCCTTCTCACTGTAAGGATTAACTCAAGGTTCTCTTTTACTTGACCCATGATAGTCTGCATGCATTAATTGTTGAAATAATAAATTAAAGTATAAATCTGTGAAATACCAAACCTTCACTTGTTGTTGCTTTGACACAGATAATCTAGAAATTGAATTTTAAGCATAATTTCCTTATATCATGCCATATATAGCATATGAACTAATATTGAAAGCAAATATAGGATGATTGATGAAGTATCAAACTTCAAAGGTCTTCATTCATGAGTTGGTATATTTATGATATACCTAATTACTTTAATGATAACATAATTGTCAGGCCTACACTCTCATGCATTCCATACAAATCCATAGTTACATAATTTGCTACTACAAAATGTTGTCATATGGTCTGTCATATATAGGTCTTTGTGGCTTCCATTGTTTATAGTTTATATAAACAAATAATTATTTGCTGATTCATAAATTTCCCCCAAAATTAGATCTTATTATTGCTTTATTCATCTTACTATAATCAAATTAAGAATGAACAAAGTGCTACAGGTAAATAGAAAGTGAATGATAAGGACAGAAATTGTAATAGAATAGAAGAATGATCTTAGATGACATTACTTTAAGCTAAACGTTGGTAAACAGAATTTATACTAGCCAAATGTAGGACACCCAGGCTAAGAACAGCAGCTATTGTATGACTTTTGCAATAATGTATACCTACTACACAGATTTCTACACCAACAGTATGGTGTGTGCTCAATTATTTTGCTTTGCATGCTGATTAGAATGGACTTACTAAAGCTACAAATTTAATGCACCAGATTATAAAAAAAATTGCATGCTTTAATAACAAACAAATCACAGGTAAATCATAAGCTATAGCTTTATCTTGAGCATCTATTGTACACATTACAACTGATGCTTATGCCACCGATGGGCAGAATGCTAATAGGCACACACACAACTACAAACAAGAGAAAGTATACTGTTGATCACACTGAGATTATAATTTATATGCCACACACATATTTAATGCAGGGATTTTACTCACGCTCCAAGAAAAGTGAAGTTGTAGTGGAGATTGATGCGAATTGGTTGATTGAAAGGTTCATTTTGTCCAACTAGAGCTGCAATGGTATTCTTTGTTGATTTATATGAGTCTTCCAAATGTGCCCTAACCAAAAACTGTGAAAGTAAAGAAATAAAATGCAAATAATTTGAGATGATAACCATCACAGTCTTTTTACCTGTTTAGTTAATTTATCATGAGGACATTCATGATTATGACTGGTAACTGTATTAGCCAGAACAAGAGAGAAACTCAAAATGAAATAGCTGTAGCTTCTACTCTTCATTTTAACTTCTTTGCTTTAGAAATGTCTAAATGCAGTATAAAAAATTATAAGTTCACTTATTTCATTTTAATAGAGCACGAAATTGCATCACTACCATATAGCATTACATCACATAAAGTCCCTAAAACATTAATTACCTACTATAAATAGCATATTTGTTTATGTATCATTTGATCTAATGTAATTAATGACCACGCAAGATAATAAGAGAATTCTTCTACATTTTAAATTTTATAATGTTCTAATGTGTGCATATGAGTGACAAGCACAATACTTAGTAATATGTCTATATTGCTGAGAATTGTATAAAATGCTTATTACACTATACTACAACTTTTTTTATTAGCTCCTATAGACAGATGCCCTTTGAAACATATTTGCGCAAATAGGACTTAAATTTGTGTGATTATTAAAATACCTACAAACCAGAACGTCCATGAAAGCATTGAATGTTTGGGGTGTAGAAAAATTTACAAAAATGCTCTAACACACACAAGTGCAACAACTAAAGTTTTAACAGTTAATGATAAATGAAGCAAAGAGCCAAAGACTCTTAAAAAAAGAAGCCACACCATTGGTAGCAGGTTCCCAACACTATCAGTTGATTCTAGTGAAGCAGTGACGTGACCTCATTTATTGGACCGTATTTTAGGCTTGCATTGCTAGGTCACATGTGTCTGTAATGCTCTTTGAGTAAATTCTGGTCTCAAATTATTTAGCCAATAACATTTTTTAAATCATATAATCTTTTAATGAACTTTCAAAGCAAGGGCAAAAATTAACAATAAAAACCAACTGAACTATACTTTAATAAACACTCACCACAACTAAAGTTCTAATAGTTAATGACTAAGGAAGCAAAAATGACTACAAAAAGGAGCTTCACCATTGGCAGAAAATTTTCAGCACTATCTGTTGAAGAAGGAGTGGGACAGGACTTCCAACACTAACAGTATAAGTAGGACTTCCAACACTAACAGTAGAAGAAGTAGAACTTCTGACACTAACTGTAGAAGAAGTAGGACTTCCAACACTAACCGTAAAAGATGTAGGACTTTTAAAACTAGCAGTAGAAGTAGAACTTTGGACACTAGCAGAAGTGGGACTTCCAATACTTTCAGTTGGAGTAGGACTTGCTAAATCTCCTTACAGTTGAGCTTAATCATAGAAAAATCTAAGATATTGTGTTAATATAAAACTCTTATTACCTGTTCAGGGCAGTTTTCAAAATCATCCTGCAAATGATAATAATAATTTAAATTAATAAATAAGTGAATACATGCACTTACATAGCATATCTCAACACAAGATGGGCACACAATCCCTCCACAATACCTCACCCCATTTGTAATCTGATCAACTTGTATCTATAAAACACTCAATATATACATAAATACAAAAGTATGGTATACCACTTGACCAGCTCTACTACAGGTATATGATTGTCCAAGGATCATTATAGTAACAGCACTCATTGGTATACTATAAAATGTAAGTAATGATTAGTGATTGGAGTCTAGCTGGTGAACTGTCAAAATTTGCATCCAAATTAAAATACTAGACACAATAATTATAAGTAGTCACAATGCTGTTGAGTTTTGCACAGAGGAGGTTGCTCAATCATGAAATGATGTCACTTACATTGGTTTATAGGTGAAATTGATTATTAATAGCAGTAATGTAAAGAATTAGATCATTAAGTTTTCTTATTCTCAGTATGGCAATGCAAGAAAAAGACTCCAAATAGCCAACATAAGGATTCAATGTATTTACAAGCATCTCTGCCTCTTGCATAGATACCCACTGACCGACACGAAGTAGCATGGCAGGAAGCAATAATAAGCATCTTTGAGAGCTTATATCTCAGTGAATATTTTTTTGGACAGTAAAACTGAATACACATCATTACTATGTTCAGGCAATCATATTAAGCAAATAAAAAACCCCAAAAATACATGGTAGTTACCCTTTAATTTAATGTAAAGCATAGGATAGCATTATATAGCAAGTAAAAGCAGCAATAATATTAATCAAACGTTGACCCAAGGCTGCCAGTACATTCCTCGTGTACTGAAATACTCACAAAGCTGTTTGCCTCTTGGAATATCCGCCATATTGTGGATACCTTGGTCTTGCATTGAACGAGGCTCCTTTGAGTAACTGTTGTACCTATCAAGCATATCTTTAAGTATTACGAGTTCTTTTTTTGAGAGGTCATTTCTTTCTGATGGATCATCAATGATATCATAAAGACAATAAGGATCACAGTCTTCAGAGACACTACCATTACTGCAAGGATAGTTTAATGGTGACCACATCAGTGAGTTGCAGTGAGTGTACTGGTTACCAACAATCAGTTTATGTCTGCCGGCAATGATAGCACCTTGATGAGTGTGAGAGGGTGAATAGTCAAAATCATATCCCAATACAATCTCTTCATGTTGCGTTTCTTCATTCTCTCCTGTAATGATAGGCCATACATCCAGTCCATCAACTGGGAACTTTCCTTTGCCAGAGTCATTATGATCCACACCAGCCATTTTACAGAATGTGGTGTACCAGTCAGCAATATGAATGAACCCATCGGTACTCTTCCCACGTCTTCCTGCTGGTATCAGCCCTCCACTTGCAAAAGCAATGACTCTCACTCCTCCCTCAAAGAAAGTGTATTTTGAACCTTTCAACGGGTAATTACTACCTTTACAATCTGCTCCTCCATTATCTGCTGATACTACCATTAGAGTGTTATCCCACATATCATTTTCTCTTAATAAATTAACAACATGTCCAGTGACATTATCAGCTACACTGACCATAGCCTGCAGTATTCTCCTTGTGTCACAGGTAGAGTTAGCAGGATAGAGATCCAGCCATTCCTGAGGTGCTTCAATTGGTGCATGGACATTATGTAATGGAAGATAGAGGAATAATGGTTTACTGGCATCATGTTCATTGAATACAGTGGTTAGGTCTTTATTATAAATATAAGAGTCGCATGTGCCATTACGAGTGTCTGGGGCATCATTCTTCCAGAAATCAACAGCACAACCTATTGTCTGATTGAAGTGACCTTCCTCAGCTTGCAGGAACCCAGATGACGTATCGAAGCCTCTATTAATAGGAAGATAAGCTGGGTCGTATAAACCCTGGTGCCATTTACCAACCATGTGGGTGGCATACCCAGCATTCTTCAATTTGGCAGGTAACATGGTCATATTAATATTGGTCCCAACCATTCCCAGTGGTGTTGGGTTCCACTGGTGCACGTGATGAGGGAATCTACCAGTTAGGAATGAAGCTCTTGAAGGCGAGCAGTACTTGAATACATAGTGTCTGTTCAGGATAAGTCCATTGTCTACAAGGTACTGGAAGTTTGGTGTCTTAATGGCTGGGTTACGGAAACTGGCATCAGCAAACCCCCAATCATCCACTAGTACAAAGACAATGTGAGGCTTGTCTGTTGGAGCAGCCGCAGCTCCTCCAGTTGTTGCACAGACTGAAAGGGAAAATAAAGCAAACAATATTTTAGCAAGCATTATCATAGATAGTAGAGTAAATGACTTTACTCTATTCCCTTCTTTCATTCTGTTATCTATGACATTTTTTGCACACTGAGCCCCACCCAGATCACGTGATGTGCTGCTTTGCGTGGGTGTATGCTCAATTATATATAGATGAGTACAAAAAGGAGCTCCACCATTGGCAAAAAATTTCCAGCACTATCTGTTGGAGTGGGACTTCCAACACTAACAGTAGAAGTAGGATTTCCGACACTAGTAGTAGAAGATGTGGAACTTTCAACACTAACAGTAGAAGATGTGAAACTTATATAATACTGTAGAAGTAGAACTTCCAACACTAGCAGAAGTGGGAATTCCAATGTTTTGAGTTTGAGTAGGACTTGCTAAATCTCCATACAGTTCAGCTTAATGATATAAAAAATTTTATAACATTGTGTTCATATAGCTGATCACTCTTATTACCTGCTTCAGGGCAATTTTGAAAATCATCCTGCAAATAATAATAATAATTTAAATTAATAAATAAGTGAATACATGCATTTACATAGCATATCTCAACACAAGATGGGCACACAATCCCTCCACGATACCTCACACCATTTGTAATCTGATCAACTTGTATCTATAAAACACTCAATATATACATAAATACAAAAGTATGGCATACCATTTGACCAGCTCTACTACAGGTATATGATTGTCCAAGGATCATTATAGTAACAGCACTATTTGAGCATTGGTACTGCAAAAGTGAATAGTTATCATGAATAATAAGTTTGGTATGAATAATGCCCTCTGGCTTGTAAAAACTATCTTTAATACACTTTTATCAGCCTACCTCATAGCATCCAGCACTGTATTGGGCAGTGTATGTGTTGAGCCATTAGTGATCTGCCACTTCCCAGAGTGATCCACACAACGTGACCTAGGTCCATATGTCTCTGCTGCTTCATTATTAGCAGCTATTGCATGAAAATAATTTAGTAAATATTTATAATTTATACTATTTATATTACTTAGGGGAATCCCTTTCCTACAGTTACCCCGAGGAGCTTGCCTTAACTATAATTAATAATCAAAACTAGATAAAAATATTTATCATAAAAATACTATACTCACAAGGTCAAGGTAATATGGGCAGAAGTCTGCTACTTGAACACATTCCCCATAAAATGGGAGTCTAGTTGGTGCATGTACTATTAAAATTTGCACCCGAATTAAAATACTAAAATAATAAAACAATTATTGTACAATTAAAATGCATCTTTTTTACCTGATATTCTCGAGGTATAGATACAAAAGATGCTACGTATAAGTAATTATCCACAAAGTTACAAAAAGCAACTGCTGTCCTGTCTATATTGCAAGATAGGTTTTGAGGATTAAACTCATTATCAGTAAAGAAATCACAGAATGGAGCAATTGGTTGATTCCTATATTTAAATACTAATTTTAATAGGAGCACTGGAGATACATACTGTCTTTTCTTTGAGTCAATATATCCTCCACAAGAACCAGCAGTATATCCACATCCATCAGCACCATGTCCCTAAACTAGTATACTAACTTGCATTGCTATAGTTCACTTTATACCAACCATACAATTTTATTATAATTATAATGATTATGCTTTTAATACTTTACTAACATACCCACTGTCTTCTAATAATGCATAACTAAAGTTTGAGAATGCAAAGTTTTCAGATATGATACCGGTCATAGCTTCATACTGAACAAAATAAAAATTCATTGCATATAATGGCAAGATATTTGAGTATGTGCTTACATTTAGTAATCTTTTCTCCCAGTGTGATCCAGCAGTGCCACTACCACCTTGATCCTCTAACTGAACACCTTCCAAAGTATCACAATTAAAATGACGTCTTGCAATCTCCTATAAATATAAACATAGATCTATAGATTTACTATGCTGCTTTCATCACTATTACATACCACAATTTTTGGAGTCACCAACTGAGTAACAGTTTTGTTCATTGGCCCAAATCTTGTCTGCCAATCTGTTAAATTCACCATTTTTACTGTATTGTTTGCTGCTACATATTGGCTATTGCCATCAAGAACATAAGTACATCATTGTAGATTATTTTAACTAACCCATTAGCATCAGTGGGTGGGTTACCATTAGCATCCCTACTTGTTCTTGGGTTTCCATTTTCATCTCTGTACCAAGGATATAAGTTATTTGAAAATCCCTGTATGATGTGATAAGTTCAAATCATAGTAAAAAGTTGTTCAGCAAAATTAACTGACTAGCACATGAAAAACCTTGTGTTTTGCAACCTGAAAAACCTGTTCATCATCATTGATGTTACTTGGACAAAAATTAATGATTCCTGATATTGGCCTATAAATTATAAACATTAATATATGTAACTACAAGCACAATTAACTCGAGACACATTATAATTTACAAAATGTTTGACACAGTCTATACCTGTCATATTGATCCTCCAATTGGCAGGCAGAAGCAAAAGCAATAGTACCTCCACCACAGTTGACATTAATACCATATACATATAGAGCAAGATCTGTATCTTCAATACCAGGTCCATCACTGTAAGCCTTGACACAATTGCTATTACCTCCATTGCACTCCATACAGTGCTAAAAAGTATGTACACATAAAAAAGTTATTCTGAAACATTAGTAAACTGTTAGTATATTTATGAATTAGTCTCATGAATTAAAACATACTCATCTGTAGATGTTCCGATGGCACTGGAAAAACAGAACAAATAACTGATTCATTTGAACATTGATCAGGGCATGGCTCAGTAGAACCAGTTAGTGTAAAATTTCCTTCATTACTTACACAATACCTATAAGTGTAATGATGTAAGGATAAGAATCTCTATCAGTGATGATTATTCATACCTTCATAATCAAAGAGGGCTTGGAGTCCTTCTCACTGTAAGGATTGACTCAAGATTCTCTTTTACTTGACCCATGATAGTCTGCATGCATTAATTGATAAAATAATAAATTAAAGTATAAATCTGTTAAATGCCAAACCTTCACTTGTTGTTGTTTTAATACAGATAATCTAGAAATTGATTTTTAAGCATAACTTCATTATACCATACATAGCATAGTAACTATTGAATATCAGGCTAGTCAGACTGAAAGGTGCATGCCCTTATTTATAAGTTGATATAGTTACTTAACATATTTTTCAGGTCTATATACTCCCACGCATTCCATAACTGGATAGTAGTCACGTAAATAGTTATAGTTGTTGCTATTTTGATCTTGCTGACTAGGTCTTGGTTGCTATGATTAACAAATATTTGCTCTGATATGCATGACTTATAAATAACGGGTCCTATTATTGCTGTTATTGTTCTTCTTACTGTTATCAAATTACGAATGAAAAAGTGCCATATGTGAACACAAAGTTAATAATGCAAGTCTACAAAGCTAATCTAATTACAAATTTATAGCTTCTATTCTTGGAGAAATTTTACAGTCAATGCTAGCTGATGATGATGGGCAATATGCTGTCATACAAAACAAGCCATGCAAATTACTGTTGATTACAATGAGATTATGGCTCATTGTCTATGCTCACAATGCATGGGGACCTAGAATTTTACTCACGCTCTAAGAAAAGTGAAGTTGTAGTGGAGACTGATGCGAATTGGTTGATTAAAAGGCTCATTTTGTCCAACTAGAGCTGCTGTGTTCTTTTTTGACTTGTTTGAGTCTTCCAAATGAGTTCTAACCAAAGGCTGTGAAAGCAAAAAATATATACAATGCCAAGATTGAGATGATAACATACAGCAATACCTTTTTTGGTAAACTGTCATGAGAACATTCATGATAATGACTGGTAGCTGTATTTGCCAGAACAAGAGACTAATCAAGATGAAATAGCTGTAGCTTGTACCCTTCATCTTTATTCCTTATGTCCAAATGCAGTAGGAGTAAGTCACAGTTCAGGTTAAATAAAGTTTGAAGTATTATTGCATCACTATCATATCTAGAATTATATCTTATAAAGTCCCTAAACATTACTATAACAGCATAAACACAGTATGATTAAGGCAACATACACAGGGCAACATTGTTGCATTAACACCTTGCATGGAGACAACATATTTTCACATGTATTACATGTTGCATTAACATTTTGTAGGCAAAATATTTTCCCATGTATTAGATCTACATGTGATCAAGATAGTAGAAGAGAATTCTCTTACATTTTAGATTTTATACATTTAGCCAAACTTCAGAGTTTAATGTTAATTTAGTAAACATCAGTGTGGGAAGAAAACTCTTGTGCCATCCGAAACAATCATAAACATAAGTAAACAATGCTAAACATAAGTAGACAGTGGTAAACAATGCTAAACAATCATAAACATAAGTAAACAATGCTAAACAGTGATAAACATAAGTAAACAATGCTAAACATAAGTAGACAGTGGTAAACAATGCTAAACAATCATAAACATAAGTAAACAATGCTAAACAGTGATAAACATAAGTAAACAGGCATACATTGTATATCACTGTATACCTATATTTTCCATTGTATATCATTGTTTACCTATGTCTACTAGTCTTTACCACTATATTGTCAAAGTTTATCAGTGTTTAGCCATGTTTACCACTGTATATCTTTGTTTACTTATGTTTACCTGTGTTTAACACTCTAAATCACTGTGTACTCATGTTTACCACTGTATATCAATTTTTACCACCTTTTACCTATGTTTATTACTATTTCCCTATGTTCACCACTGTATATCATATGTATATCAGTACTTACTTACATTTATTAATGTTTGCCACAGTTTCAATGCTTATCAATGATGTTTACTGTTGTTTACCTATGTTTCAATTGTGTTTACCATAGTTAATAATAGCTCTTTTAATATTGATGTTTACCATGATGACAGTAAACTCAAGAGTTTGGATAAATCATTGGTCTTAAATCAAGCCTCATAGGGTATATTAAATAGAATCTACTCATAAGTAAAAAAAAGAATCATATCAGAACATTAAAGCATTTATTAGAATAAAGGTGAAGAAAAATCTACTAAGAATTGCTCTAACTTACACATGCACATAACGACTAAAGTTTTAATAGTTAATAATGAATGAAGCAAAGATCGCTGCAAGAAGAAGATTCACCATTGGCAGCAGGTTCCCAGCACTATCAGTTGCAGGAGTGGGACTTCCAACACTAACTATAGAAGAAGTTGGACTCTCAACAGTAACTGTAGAAGAAGTTGGACTCCCAGCAGTAACTGTAGAAGAAGTTGGACTCCCAGCAGTAACAGTAGAAGAAGTTGGACTCCCAGCAGTAACTGTAGAAGAAGTGGAACTTTGAACACTAGCAGTAGAAGAAGTAGGGTTTCCAACACTTTTACTAGGAGTAGGACTCGCTAACTCTCTATATAGTTTAGCTGGATGATACAAATAATGCATGGTGGATTTTATAATTTTTTTTTTACCTGCTTCAGGGCAATTTGTAAAATCATCCTGCAAAAACATTTAAGAAATAAAGTAAAAAATTCAAATATACTGTACTCAGTACTCACATAGCATATCTCAACACAGGATGGGCACACAATCCCTCCACGATATCTCACATCATTTGTAGTCTGATCAATTTTTATCTATAAAACACTCAATATGACAGGGTTTCCCACAAGACTTTAACATTGTGCAGCTTCTTGTCAGTAGATTGTTAGAGTCATATTGACTAAAGATCCTGCACTGATTTGCATGGTTTTTGGCCAAATTTTGTCAAAAATAAATATAAGAGAATTCTTAATTTCTATAATTATTTTTGATACACATACAAGTCTTTATGTAGTATAGAAAGTTATAGTGGATTCGTGCAATCAAAATTTAATTTTTAAAAGTTGTTCCAAATGTTATACATTATAGTGCTTGTCAGCTCATAAATTATACTGATATGTGCTGTTAAACCCACATAACATGCATGCTTTATGGGAAACGCTGAAATGAGATATGTGTGTTATATGTTATAAGAATGGCATACCACTTGACCAGCTTTACTACAGGTATATGATTGTCCAAGGATCATTATAGTAACAGCACTATTGGAGCATTGGTACTACAAAATGTAAGTATATACAATTAAAAAAGGATCGACTGACATCTTGCTTTACACCTTGAGGTGTAAACATAAACAACCTTTTTCTACCTCATAGCATCCAGCACTGTATTTGGCAGTGTATGTGTTTGAGCCATTAGTGATCTGCCACTTTTCAGAGTGATCCACACAACGTGATCTAGGTCCATATGTCTCTGCTGCTTCATTATTAGCAGCTATTGCATGACATAAATAATTTAATAAATATTTATGATTTATACTATTTATATTACTTAGGGGGATCCCTTTCCTGCATATACCCCGAGGGGCTTCCCTTAGCTAAAATTAATAAAGAAAAAATAGAATACCTATTTATAAAAAGTTTTATATTTACTAGGTCAAGATAATATGGGCAGAAGTCTGCTGATTGAACAAAACCTCCATAAAACGGGAGCCTGTATGCTGAGCTGTCAAAATTTTCACCTGAGTTTAAATACTAGACACAAGTATAAAAGTAGTCATTATCGTACAAATAAAACTTTTTCTTTCTACCTGATATTCTCGAGGTATTGATACATAAGATGCTACATATAAGTAATTATCCACAAGGTTACAAAAAGCAACTGCTGTCCTGTCTATGTTGCATTTTAGGTTTTGTGGATGATGGTCATCATCGGTAAAGAAATCACAAAATGGAGCTATTGGCTCATTCCTACATATTTAAATAACAGTCAATTCATTAGCAGTGTATGTACATACTGTCTTCTTTTTGAGTCAATGTATCCTCCACAAGAACCAGTAACATATCCACATCCATCACCACGTCCCCAAACTAGTATACTTGCTTTGCTATAATCAACTTTATACCAACTATATAATTATAAATAAAATTATAATTACAATACATTATGGTTTTAATGTTTAATTAACATACCCACTGTCTTCTAACAGTGCATAACTAAAACTGGAGAATGCAAGGTTTTCTGATATGACACCAGTCATAGCTTCATACTGAACAAAATAAAAATTCATTGGATATGGGCAAGGTTATCAAGTGTGTGCTTACATTTAGTAATCTTTTCTCCCAGTGTGATCCGGCAGTACCACTACCACCTTGATCCTCTAACTGAACACCCTCCAAAGTATCACAATTAAAATGATGTTTTCCAACCTCCTATAAATTTACAGGTAATTTATTTAATATAGGTCTACTAAGTTGTTTTCATGACATACCACAAGTTTTGGAGTAACTAATTGTGTAACTGTTTTTGTCATTGTCCCGAATCTCGTCTGCCAATCATTAATGACCACTGTTTTTACTGTATTTTCTGCTGCTATATATTTACTATTGAATATCATTATTAATAAAGATATCATAATCATTTTAACTGACCCATTAGCATCAGTTGGTGGGTTACCATTGGCATCTCTATGTGTTCTTGGGTTTCCCCTTTCATCTCTGTACCATGGATATAAGTTATCTGAGAATCCCTATATAATAAATAAATAAATAAATATATAATGACATACATTATGAGTCCATTAGTAGCTGTTATTAATAATTTTAGTTTTATAACGAACTTACTAGCACATGAAAAATTTCATGTTTTGCAACCTTAAAAACGTGTTCTGCATCATTAATGTCACTTGGGCAGAAATTGATAATTCCTGATATTGGCCTACAAAAAAGTATTAATTCCATAAAAATTACCATATAGAGCAAAATTTTCAAGGGCTGTAAATTTTGCAGATTTTGCACTGAATTTTTTGAAAATTCACAAAAATTACTTTTGTGAAAATCAAATTAAAAGGGTACAAGATGGCAACCGGTATAAATTTATGAAAATTAAATCCACAAAATAGATTTTAAAGCAAATTTGTGAATATACAACCCTCCAAATATTTGTGCTATACAGCATCAGTCCTGAAAAATCACTCACATAATGTTAACAAATATGACACACTATACAGTCCTAGTCATTTAACTTAGCCTACCTGTCATATCGATCTTCCAATTGGCAGGCTGTGGCATAAGCAATGGTACCCTCATCACAGTTGACATCAATACCATATACATATAGAGCAAGGTCAGCTTCAATACCAGGTCCATCACTATAAGCCTCAACACAATTGCTACTATCTCCATTGCACTGCACACAACGCTATATGTACATATAAAATAAAGTTGTTGTCAAACATTAAATAAATTACTATGAAAAATTGAACATGCACAATATAGATTAGAACAAACAGGTTATATAATTTGTGTAAATGAATTTCTTAGAATTTAGTTATACTATTAATCTGTTTGACAAATCACCTGTAGATGTTCTGATGGTACTGGAAAAGCATCACAAATAACTGATTTTGTTGAACATTGATGAAGACATGGTTCAGTAGGACCAGTTAAAATAACTTCATCATTACTGACACAATGCCTAAATGTATAATGACAATAAACTCTATAGCAAATAATTGCCTTCGTAATCGAAGAGGGCTTGGAGTCCTTCTCACTGTAAGGATTGACTCAAGATTCTCTTTTACTTGACTCATGATAGTCTGCATGGTTAAATAACAATGATATTAATGAATTAAAATGATAAATCTGTTAAATACAAACCTTCACTTGTTGCTGTTTTGTCTCAGATAATCTATATTAAATTGAAAAATTTGATTAGCATACTAATAATCAACACAGTCATCAGAATTAAGTAGAAATACCTATTTAAAGGGTATCTCCAAATTTGATGTATTTATTTTATGGTCTTAATATGATGACTTAACCATAATAATAATGTGTTCCAAATCCCACTGTCTAAAAATAATTATTTACTGAGATATGAGCCTTCAAATATGGTGGCATCATAGTAGATACTGGTACATGTAACTCCATTCCTTTATAGGGGAAAATGATCCTTTATTCTTATACCTTGTAATGTAATAGCATGCACAAATTTAAAAATTGGGATCCAGGCTTGAGCTTTCATTATTCTAAGCATGCAACTGCAAGAAAAAGTCATAATATCACACTTTGGTGAATTTTCTTGTTTGCTATTCTGAGGCATCTTCTTGCAGTTGCATGCTTAGAATAATGAAAGCTAAAGATCCAAATTTTTAAATTTGTGCTACAAGGCATGAGAATTAGGGATGAGCCTATTATTCCAGCATAATTTTAGGAATAAAAGGGGTTTCCTCATGTGAGGAATAATGCTGGAATAATTGGATGGAAATAGGAATAATAGTGGAATAATAAGTGGAGTTCAGGTCAATGGTGATTGCAGACTGAAGAAAATTTAAAAAATTTTGGCTAGGGTTTTTTGGAAGACCTATTTTTAAAACACTACTGGGATGCAATTCTTGGGTGAAAATTGATTATTTGAGAAAATTATTGAGAATAAATTGAGAATAATAGGATAAAATGAAAAGAATAATGGGGAAAATTATTAAGAATTTCCATAAAGAATAATAGGAACATTTATGAGCATAATAGGCTAGTGATGGCGATTCTGAGTCCGGAGTATTTGATCCTTTGATTCCAAATGGAATCGTACTCGTATCGAAAGAGAAGTGGGAATTTTTTGAAACAATTCCAAATTAAGCAACACCCAACCACACCTTTTAATATCAATAATAGTTAATTAATCAGTAGTTAATACCTTAATTATTCATTATTATTGCATTTTATTGCTCTAATTGATATCACGTGGCTTTGCGCATGTGTAGATGTAGTACTCGGAATCGGTATTCGATTCCATCGATTCCAGTCTCAAAAGTATTCAGAATCGAAAATTGAATGCAAATTTCTGGATTCGCCCATCTATATAATAGGCTCGATCCTAATGAGAATAAAGGCCGGATCACTCCCCTACTACATTGATAATAAAGTATAATAGAGATAATAGAGTATACTCTATTATCTATGCCCTAATGACGTCACGTTTAGCCACACTCACAAACAGGAAGTAACATTGCAGGAAGCAAAATGTCAACATTTTTCATTATGACTTTGAAGGCTCATATTTCAGTAAATAATTATTTTTAGATAGTTGGATTTGGAACACATTATTATTATGGTTAGATAATCATATTAAGGCCATAAAATAAATTTAATACTGGCTACAACAGAGAATGTGGTTAGTACATTTTTGCTCTTACACTGAGTTGTTGTGATACCGTATAGCTTAAAATTTTCGTGGAATGTAAATTTCGTGGTTTTCGTGGTTATGGGCTGCCCACGAAATTTAAACCCACGAAATCATTGAAGTGCCATCCCTTACAGGCTATGTAAACTGTCAACCACGAAAATTAAACCACAAATTGTCCCACCAGGAGCAAACCACGAAAATATCAACCCACGAAAATATCAAGCTATACCAAGCTATACGGTAATACTATTGTTGGACCAGTATGGCTTTTTCAATTTTAGTTCTAGTTTAGTTCTATCATAGGTGCAAAACTGCAAATAGTTCTAGCTCTAGTTCCTTTTTTAGGCTGTTACAAGAATAGTTCTAGTTCTTGTTAGTGTAAAATTTATTGGGTTAGTTCTAGTTATAGTTCCTACATATAGCTTTTAGTATAGTTAGTCCTAGTTCTAGTTCCTTGAAATTTTTACTGTTAGATAGTTCTAGTTTGGTATTAAGCTCTTAATTATAGTTCTAGTTACATGTATGTGCTCTGTGAAAGTATAATAACCATGCATGCAATGAGTTTTCCATCATAATTAATGCACAATAAATATATATTGCAAGTTCACTGTACAGTTTATTTAATGTACTGCTTGTTTTTCCTAAGTAATGTCTCTCTCTCTAAAGTATCGTTAGTCAGCCTAAATGCTTTCGTCTGTATCTTCATTGTATATAAAGTAATCCCAGACAGTGCTTTGAATTCGGCTTCAAACTTTACACGACTCTTGACTTCCACAACCTCATCTTCCTCAAGTTGAAATAGTTCAGTTACATCTGGTGTGGGTCCTGGTTCAGCTGTTTCTTTTCCTTATCCACCTGTAAGTTGTACTTGTACTTGTAGCAGCTGAGATGCATACATGATAGACTCATTCACATGCTATGCATGAGGACACAAACAGTACATGTAGATGTAGTTTATGTTAAATATAGAACTATTAATAGTGACTAGTTTTTGTTCTAGTTCTACACACTTAGTTCTAGTTCTAGGTTGTGACAATGATTATATATTTTAGTTATAGATTAGTTATTAATTCCATAACACTGTTAGTTATAGTTCTATAGTCCGGTACAAAGTTTCAGTACGGTTGGTTCTAGTTCTGGTTTTATTCTGGATTTTTATGTTGGTTCTAGTTCTAGTTCTAGAACTAAAGGGGAAAAACCCAAGAACTAATAGCGAAATAGTTCTAGTTCTGAGAACTAGAACAACAATAGGTAATACTGAAAGCAAATCCATTTTTCACACCCCAAGTTCAGTGTGTGTACAATTTAGTTATAGTCAAAGGGGCAGCCTAGTTTGGCTAGTAAGACCATTCCTCAGCCTATTAAGTAATTGGGGTGGCCCCACGGGCAGTTCTACAAATTCCAAGAATAATGCACCTGTGCCTATGGGCCCTAGGGACACCGTATGCTATGATAACAATAGCTATAACTAAGCAATTTTTAGTCTAGTATGGTGGAGATTAACACACTAAAGCTAGTTATCTGCATTAATTGTTGCCGGTACTTGTGTGTCACACAGCCCACACAGTCAAATGTATACTCGATGCTCATCATAATGACTGTGAGTCTGTGACTGTGTGACATATGCACAACTAGAACACACACATACATAAACACTCACATACAAAAAAACATTGCTGATTAGCAGAATACAATGAGATTATAGAATTATGATGCACCTATAGACGCTTTATTTGCGGATGCACCAATATTATAGCCTACATTATATATCTACTCACACTCCCAAAAAAGTAAAGTTGTAGTGGAGATTGATGCGAATAGGTTGATTAAAAGGCTCATTCCTCCCAGCTACAGCTAAAGTCTTTGCTGCCTCAGATTTATATGAAACTTCCAAATGTGTTCTAACCAAGAACTGCAAAAAACGAAAAATACAATGCAAATATATAATAAGAGGAAAACGAGTATAGATCTATATACCTTTTTTGGTAATTTGTCATGAGGACATTCATGATAATGACCGGTACTGTTAGATCTAGCTGCATTTGCCAGGACCAGAGACAAAAGTAAGAAGCAGCAGTAGCTTGCAAATTCAGTCATCTTCAGATCTTTTCTCAGCACGAAGAGTTTCAAGAAGTAGATTCATTACTTAAGTAGATCATTACATCACATCCTGGCCCATTCCATTCCTCCCACCAGAATAAATTGCATGTGCTGCATCATGCTATGAATAAAGCAAAGTTCATAGAAAAACAATCACTCAGCATTTTAAAAACTTTAGCTCTCTTTTTTTTGTTGAAAGAGTACTAGTAAAGATCTACCATGAATCCTAAAAGTAAGATATCAATACTTATAAATCATTCCTGATCTCATTATGTAGGGAAGCAGTGCACTTGTCTTGTAGTTGGAATAGTCTCAGTTCTTGCATTAGCAATACTAATAATAACATACAGTTCAGTCATGATGACTGCTTTTAGTGGCCCTGGTTCAGTCTTTGCTGGTGGTAACGTATTTATATCTCTTCATTCAAATGGGTTTGATACTGAAGTGGTTAAAGGACTCCGTGTAATGCCACAGTCAGTAGATAATGATGTCTTTTATTACATTCAGTCATGCAATGTGAAGAGTATCAAAACCAGCTTCTTGCCATTAAGAATGCACAGCATTGCATTGAACCAACAGCAACCCATACCTGTAAACTATTATAATGGGGACATTCCTATTCATACTCTTAATACTGGCTCCATCACTTACTCAGCAAATTATACAAAAAGTTTTTGTTTGACAGTTTTTAACGATATAAGCAGGTATCAAAGTTACATTGCTAATTCTGATATTTCACGTAATACCGGTATCAGTACCTTCTGCCTTCACCGATCAACAGGAGGGCATTCTAGTGGTACTTTGCTATTGAATGAAACTAACTTTTACTTCATTGCTGCAGTGATCAGTGAGCGATCCAGTGATACGTTTATCAAGCTAAACATCAGTGCCAACATTACCACATACTCTGATAGCAATATCGACAGCTGTTCATTGAGTGATACAGAGAGATCATGTTACATTGATATATCAAGCTACAAAGGAAAAAGCATATGTGTCTATATACAATCAGAGAAATATCAATCCATAACATACAGTGTATCACATACTCCCACTCTTGTTGGCTTTGTTGCAGCTTCAGTGATCATAACAGTAGTCATAATTATAATGATAATAGCTAGTACCATCATTGTCACATGCTTTCTATTAAAGGAGTTTCAGAATAGTTATGCATCAGCTACTAGCTCTACTGCTAAATTACAGTCTAATAGTGGCTTTGAGTTGGAAAAGTACAGGCCAAAAAGAACAAGTTTAATTCGGGGAATATCAAAAAACAGCAATCAAAATGCTATAATCTAATGATGTAAAATTTTGCTGTTGTTGTTGTTGTTGTTAGTTGTTTTTAGTTGCTAAGAAAAATTAATAATCCAAATTCCAGCAAATTTTGTGGTGCTGACATTGCATAACTGACACTGTGGCTCACAGCTTGGAAAACTGCCCATTGCCATATAAATTAATGATATAATAATTGTTTTTGGGTTCATGCCAAATTGTGATGTGTTATGCAGCCTCAGGTCAGATTTGTACCTAAACCACACCTGCTAAGAAGCTTTGCATGTAATAAAATTGTGATGTGACATCATTGTAGCTTCCATAGTAGACTATAGTGCAAACAATTTCATTAATGTCTGCACCTTGAACTTGGGGAACTCCCACCCAATGAATGTTCATTTCAATGGCCTTTCATCACAAACCACACCTTACAATGCTTATAAAAATCACTCTGCATGCTCCTAGCTCATCAGCGAGCTTATCAGTCATTGACTCTCAGCTGTATAATCTAATACTTGAATTAATACCTGTCCATTGAATCCTCACAAGACTGAAGTCATGGGTTGCTGCTGTTGCTCTCAGGCCCCAATATTAGATGATCCTACCATCACTGCTCATCTCAAAGTTGGTAGATTCATAGCAGTAAGGGGCTATACAACATATAAAAATGATGCTCCAGGCCTGTTGTACACAGATGGAGAGAATCTTTATTATGAAGCTACTTGTGGTGAGAAGAGAGCTTGTTCTTTGTGCTGTAGGTTTCGTCAACCATTGTCCAGCATAAAAGAAATCACTGTTGAGCAAGGTTCACAGGTTGTGACCGTTGGAAATGGAGTATTGGTTGGACCATTTCTTAAGGTGACTTTTGATAATGGAGTGATGCTAGTCTCAGCTGCAGATATGGGATCATTCCCTCAGACTCTAGACAGCATGACAACAAAAACTATGCAGCCACCAGGATTTAATTGAATTATAAACATACTTCATTGAATTATGAACATACTCTATTGCATCTGTGTCTACAAACAACAAAACTCCCAAAAATCTTTACTTTATTGTTTTTAATAACTACATCTATTATATAACTATAATAACCATTAATTAATAAACGGCCCCACCTTTAAAACACGTGTTGCCTTGTTGGCCGGCTTCACATCAAGATGACGTCTCAGACGGAGTCTTTACCCGATGCTCTCTTGGAAGCTCTGGCAGAAAAGGGTCGAGTAGATTCCTATGAATATGCTACTAGTGTCGGTAGAAATCATCAAGACGTAGTCGGAGCCTTAAAGAGTTTGGAGTCCTTTAGAGACGTAGGCTTTAGCACTTGATTTGCCGATTTGCACACGGTGTGGGGGTCTTTGTCTCTCTTTTAGGTTATAAATACAGAGCAGAAACAGACTGAATTGTGGGAGCTGGCCGAAGAAGGTAAAGAGATAGCTGAGAATGGTTCACATGAGGTTAGACTCTTTGAAGCAGTCGATCAATCAAATGGAACACCACAAAATGAACTAATGGTGAGAAAAGATCATGTAAAGATTACATTTGATTACGAAATTGCCTGTTTAAAATACAAGCCTAGCAAGTGTTAGCTGAAACGAAATTGTTGTTATACAAAAAGCGTAATATTAACTGTAATAAATGTTCGTACATGTATAATGATAATTTTATGTGTACTTGTATATGTAATTTTGTCTTGTCTTTCTTATTTTGATTTCATTCCGCTATCTCTCCCTTTAGTCTACAGTTCCTAATGCTAAGATTGGTTTCAGCAAGGCAATGTCTAACAAATGGCTAAAGCTAGACAAATCATCACCAGGCCCACCACAAGTTTATAGAAACGTAAGTTGTAATTAGCATTTCGATATTACCGGACTCTATTTATGCAACATTTGCTACTGAATATTGAATGTGGCTTGCTGGTTATTATTATTATCAGTTAGTTATGGTGTGGTAGCTATAGTAATGGTCCTTCACTATCTACATTAGAACAAAGCAGTGACAACTTTGTTTTGAGCTGTACGGGGGAAACAAATGAAAATTAATAATAATAATAGTACATGTGATCTGATTTGCCGTAAATGTAAAAATTTTCATGGCGGATAAATTTTCGTTCTTTCCGTGGGCCACACAGATCCACGAAATTTTAATGCAAGGGTGTGGTGGTTAATTCAATAGGCCACGTGACAGCCATGCGTACTGATCATGAATATTACTCGTCTCTCTTTCATACTTCAGCATCTCTCCTTCCTCTGCTTCACAGATCTCCTTATGTACATGGTAGTCCCTGATAACTGAAAAGATAGTGAAGGTAGGCATCCATGTGGTCAGTAAATTAATAAGTTGGGTAACGCCTACTACAAAATTTTTAATGCACAAAAATTAATTTTTATGATAAAATTTCAAAAATTTGAAAATTTATACCACGAAAATTTTTACGTTTACGGTAACTCCAATTAAAACTGAATTTTTAATAAGTCTTAAAAGTTGCTCAAAATTAGACAAAAGTCCAGGCCTGTAAGCTTTACTGTGCTATAGGGTTTTTGGACAAATTTCTTTTAAAAAGGCTAAGAGAGAATTCTCTATTATATATTTTTTCCCCAATCCATATCCTAATGTTATATAAGTTTCAGTAGATTCTGATCAAAATATATATCAGAAAATGTAATAAAAATTTAGAGTAATTTTGGAGCCATTTTTTGGAAAAAAAAATGAGCTATAGCATTGGGGTATTTTTCAAATTTTCGCTATTTTAAAATGGCTGTAACTCAAAAATTTTTTGTTGGAAACAGCTTAAACTTTCTACATAGCCTAAGGACATCAATATACATCAGAAAATGTAATAAAAATTTGAGGTTATTTTGGAGTCATTTTTTAGAAAAAACCATGGGCTATAGCCTTGGGTATTTTTTAGATTTTGGCTAATTTTTAAAAATGGCCGTAACTCAAAAATATTTGTCGGAAACAGCTCAAATTTTTTGTGTAGCATATATTCATCAATATACATCAGAAAATGTAATAAAAACTTGGGTTGATTTCAGAGCCATTTTTAAGCCATTTTTTAGTGGTAGGGTAATGCCTACCACGAAATTTTTAATGCATGAAATTTAATTACACCACGAAAATTTTTACTTTTATGGTATGTGTACTGTAATTTTGGAGGCAGGAGGTATGACATTTTGATAGTCATTTACCGAAATAAAAACCCGCCATTTTGAATCATTGTGTCCATTCTCATTAGCTCTTGACCATTACTAACTGTACAAAGGGAATTAATAATACCATATAGCGGGTAAATTTGGAGGGGCCAAATTTTGGTGAATTCCAAAAATTTTGGTGATTGGCAGATTTTAATTTGGCAAATTTGTGGCCACATGCCATTGAACATGCGTATAATGGCTTAAAATGGCGGATTTTTATTTTGGTGAGTGGCTATCAAAATGCCAAATTTGCTGAATTTAATTCCCTCCAAAATTTCTCGCTATACGGTAATAGTACTTATACTCAAATTTACTTAAAATTATTATTTAAGTTATACATTGCATTATATTTATTGTGATAAATTATTTATATAATGACTAATCTAATAGCTAAATTAATTAATTGTGTAGGTGGAGTCTGTGACTGATACTGTCCTGAAGTTATTGTGTTCCCTCAAAGGTGAGAGTGGGAGGGGAGAACTGTCCGATGAGAATTTGAAGGAATTTAAGAAGAGGAAGCTCATCAGTAACACGTCAGTTTATATAATCTGTATTTTTATTTATGGGCTCTGTTTTTTGTTTTCTCTCCCCCCTCTCTCTCTCCCTCTCCCTCTCTTTCTCTGTAGTATAATAAAGAATTACATAATCACACAGGGTCCTTGCTTTACCACTAGCATCAGTAAGAAGAGTACAGAGCTTACTGCTGAAATGATACAGAAGTGATTCATGATTTGTAATGTTCACATGTACATGTACTGTATATGTGTGTTCATGTTTTTTGCTGTTATCCGATTGGTGCCGTACCAAGTCACATGACTATATTGTTTGGCTCTTTAGTTAGAACAGCAATACCAGACACCACACACTTTGCTATTACCAATCATGTACATCATTTCCTAATATGTACATTGAACGCTGTAAAGTGACATTTATCCATGTAAAAAATCCAAATTTGACTGGAATCAGCTTAAAGTTGATACACAGCATAAGAACATGTACCCTGTATACATACATGTACATGTACTGTATTTCCTCAAATAAAATACTTTAAAACTACAAATTTTAGCGTGCTACTTTATTTTAGCGATATTAGCGAAGAGCCTAAACATGCTAAATTTAATATTTGCTAATAAAAACACCCAGTCACATGATCACAAAATGTCGCTGATACCATAGATACAGTATCTATGCTGATACTACACTAGTAGATGGCTCTCTTCTGCTTGGTCGACAACACTACCAGAGGAAGGAGAACCCAGTGGAACGACAGCAGCAGCTAACAGAAAAGTGGGAATGGTTTAATGATATGCCAAATTTAATAGTCGCTAATTTGACATTTAAGCATAAATGCTAAATAAAGTAGCCGCTAACATTAATAGGTTTACAGTACCTGTACATGTATAATATATACATGTATGTGTACATGCATTGATACCTTTTGTAATCACAGATGTACATGTAAGGGTACAATGTACTTTAATTCACTAAATGTACCTATTTAATAATGTTCCTTTGTTATTTTGATTCTTTTGTTCTAGTGGTTCATGGAAGAATGAAGAATTCAAGTCTTACAATTTCAATGCACTAGGAGCTCCTCTTGCCACTGGTCACCTCCATCCATTGCTTAAAGTTAGGACCAAAATACGACAAATATTCCTTGAGATGGGGTGAGCCTTTCATTAAAATATTATTAGTAATGTATTCACATGTACAGCTTGGTGAAAATTGCTTGTTTTTAAAATGCTCATAACTAGAGAATTATTTGTCAGAAACAATTCAAAATTCCTACATTGCATAAGTACAACAATAAGTATCAAAAAATTTAATCAAAATTGTTCAGAGCCATTTTTCAGAAAAAAACCATGGGCTATAGTACACTGTACATGTACGTGGCATTTCTTTTAGAAGATGGCCCAATTTAAAAAATATAAGCTATAGTATAAGTTGAAAAAATTGGACTCAGAATCAACTCAAAGTTACTACATAGCATAAGAACATCAATTTACACGAGAAAATAATTAATAGAAATTGGGGATGATTTTGGAGCCATTTTTTGGAAAATATTTTAAAAAATGCTCATAACTTGAAAAATATGTATCAGAAACAGCTCAAACATTGTACTT